ATAGGCTATACATTTTCCTTAAAGCATCCCATTTTGTCCCAGGGCTTGAAAACCTGTGCCTAGGCTAGTTAGGTCCTACAGAAACTTGTGAACGATGCTCTTGTTGTGGCATCACCGTTTAGTGACAGCATTGAATGCTCCGGGAAAACGTATAAACAGCGCCTTTTAATTGCTGTTTCGAATCCAGCAAGTATTTATTTACAAATTATAAGCTCTGATTATGACAAGTGTGGTATAAAAAGCTGCTGCAGCAAAACACACTGTTGATCACATGAAACATTATCATGTGAGTATTATGACCAGTACTTAATTTGATCCTGCTGGATCCTGTTCCGGAAAATGTCAGATTTAAAATTTTTGCGTTCCAGTAGGCCTATTTGTTTTTAAAAATCCGGCATTTACAGTACATTAGATCGTGACAGTGCATGCTTGCGTGCATACGAGACGGAGCGAGCGAGTGTTTGGCTAGATAGCGACAGTGCATGCTTGCGTGCATACGAGACGGAGCGAGCGTGGGTTTGACTAGATGTATTTGGAGGTTATTACTCGCGTCTCATTTGGCACAAATCCAAATGTTTCCATAGTCGTAATGTATTTGAATGTTAAACTATTATTTATAATGTAAACTAGGCTTGTACTTTACACGCATTCGTGATCATCGATTAATCGTTGACATCCCTAGTAGGAAGTAAATCTGCAAATTATTTGAAATGCATGCACTACCATTCAAAAGTTTGGGATCAGTAAGTTTTTTTTTTTTTTTACTGAAGTTTCTTGTGCTCATCAAGGCTGTATTTATTTGATTAAAAATACAGAAAACCCTGTTATTTTGTGAAATATTATTGCAATTTAAAATGACAGTTTTCATTTTAATATACTTTAAAATATAATTTATTGCTGTGATGCAAAGCTGAATTTTCAGCATCTGATTTATTATCAATGTTTGAAACAGTTGTGCTGCTTCATGTTTTTTGGAACCTGTGATACTTTTTCAGGATTCTTTTATGAAAAAACAAAAAACAGCATTTATTCAAAATGGAAATCTTGTGTTACAATATACACTACCTTTCAAAAGTTTGGGGTCAGTAATTTTTTTTTTCTTTCTTTTTTGAAAGTAATGAATACTTTTATTCAGCAAGGATGTGTTAAATGGATAAAAAGTGATAGTAAAGACTCACATTGTTAGAAAAGATTAATTTTAAATAAATGCTGTTCTTTTTAACTTTTTATTCATAAATGAATCCAGAAAAGAGTATCAGTTTCCAAAAAAAACAAAAAAAAAACATGAAGCAGCACAACTGTTTCCAGCACTGATAATAAATCAGCATATTAGAATGATTTCTGAAGGATCATGTGACACTGAAGACTGGAGTAATGATGCTGAAAATTCAGCTTTGATCACAGAAATAAATTATATCTTAAAGTATAAGAAATTGAAATAATCTCTCACAATATTACAGTTTTTCTGTATTTTTGATCAAATAAATACAGCCTTGATGAGCACAAGAGACTCGAACATTAAAAATCTTACTGATCCCAAACTTTTGAACGGAAGTGTATATTCACATACACTACAGTCAAAAAGTCAGTTTGACTAAAAATACAGTTAGCCTAAATAGTAATATTGTGAAATGTATGCAATTTAAAATAAGTCTGCAATGTCTTTTACAAATCATTCTAATATGCTTATTTGGTGCTCAGGAAACATTTCTCATTGTCAAAGTTGAAAGTGTTAAATATTTTTGTGGAAGTTGTGATATTTTTTTCCAGTGTTCTTTGAGTAAATTTAATTCTTTTGAACTTGGTATTTAAAATAGAAATAGTTTATAATGTTCTAAGTGTCTTTACTGTCTTTACTTTACTGTCTTTTGATCTTTTAATTAAAATCCTTACTGAATAATAATATAATATACATATTATATATGTAAGGAATAATTGACGACGGCCCGTTAAATTATTAGAAAAATAATGCACACCCAAGGTGGTGATGCGGCCACGACGCGAAGCGGCCTTTACACCTCGGGTGTGCATTATTTTTCTAATACCGGTAATTCAACGGCCCGGAGTCAATTTTTTCCGCTTATAATATGGTTACCACACCTCAAGACATCGATCAGATGATATATTTATAGGGATTCGTCTGGTTTTTGTACTTAAATCGCTATTGTGAGTAGGATTATTTCTTCCGCATCTCGTCCAACGCCTCTTTTGCTAGTTCCAAAACGTCGTTTTAAAGCTGGTAATGGAGGCTCGAGCCGTTGATAGCATTCTAATGCAGTTATTAATGAAGTTATTAGAAAGAGAGCGAGCGAGACAGAGACACACAGAGAAAGAGAAAGAAAGAGAGAGAGAGAGAGAGCTTGTGTGAATTAGGCTACCTCTGAGTGTCCCTCAATAGTGTTCTGCAGCAGCGTCTCTAAACAGCTCTGTTGTTACCTCGCTAGTGAGAAATGTTTAAGTTAACCTTTAAGTTGCTACACTATATAGGATAACTGATAAAATCGTCAGGGCAGTGCTAACAACACCATTTTGTGCAAACTGCGTGACCGTAGTGTGCGTGTGCGAGCACGTGTGATTGCAGTAATTCCTGTGTGCTGTATAGGTACTGTATGCTAATTTCCGTTATTACAGTTAACTATGCGAAGTGATATGGAACTGTAATGCGGTCAAGAGAGCTGCCTGGAACTACATTCGCCGTGCGTTTCCCTGAAGATAATTGCACACCTCAGAACGTTTGTCAGCCAATCAGATTCAAGCATTCAACGGCCCCGTAGTATAAAGCAAAATAATCGAATATAATCTGCATAAAAATACATAGCACAAGTATTAGGTAAACAGTATATTTTTATATAATACGACACACAAATACTGGGTAAACAGTACCTTTTTAATAAGACTGAAGTAGTTATAGTAAAAATTACCCTTATGACTGGTTTTGTGGTCCAGGGTTACACACACACACACACACATACACCCACACGTTTCAACTACATAAGCTGTAAGCTAATTAGTAAATTTCTTATTTC